AGTGGATCTGAAAAGTTAATCTGCAAATTACTATATCCATGGTCTATAATTAAAGAAGAAAAAAAATATTAAAGAATAGCTTGAACTTAATAAAGTATAAGTTGTATTTTTTTTCTTTTTCTTTTTTACCTCGATTGCCGTTAAATCTTGGTAAGTCATTCACAAAGAGCCTCCAAGAATTCGTAGGTTCAGTCTGGGCCAGCAGAAGAGTGTTGTTATTTAGAATATTAAACGCACCGGCAAAATTAGTGGAAGTGGAGTTCTCAGAAAATTCCCATCTAACTGGGTTATCTGATTCATCAAAAAAAGTAAGATAAAAATTTAATAATAAACCGTCGCCTGATTGGTTGAAAGTCGTTAACGCATAACCTCCATAAGGCAATGTAGTGACGATATAATCGTCTTGGCTGGTATTCACTTTTAGAGTTGATAAAGATAGTACCGATCCTGAAGAGAGAAAACGAAGTTTAATATAATATGGATTAAAAAAAGGAGTGATGAATTGTGTAGGATTTGCAATGCTTGTAACATTTGTAACGTTCATAGCTCGTTTCATAGTTAGTACGCAAGTATGTGCGATGTCAGCATATTCGACAGAACATCTTATATTAGTAATATTTAAGTCCGGCAATGAAGATTGGAATAGTAAATAAGGAATGGTTGTAGTTTGTTGATTACGTGCCAAAAATATGCCATAAATTCCTGCACGCACCGCAAATAGGTCATTACTACTTATTCCAGAGTTAGAAACATTAGCAAACACAATGGCATAGCCTCCGTCTATAGTGGCAATTAATGTACCGAATCCAGAAATCTTCTCAACTATATCTCCAGACAAAAGTGAGATTTGACCATTATCATCACTAAAAAAATGATAGCCGACAGGATATCAGACTTGTAAATGAAAAGAATGGTAACGCAATTAAACATACACAGCATATTGCTTCCATTCAAAATTAGGTTGTCCAGTTATTTTTGAAAAACGGAGAAATCCCATTCTAGGATCAATATTTATGACTATGCTAGCTTGATTAGGTACCCAAACATTATTCATTGGGTTCATGTATGATTTTGAGAAAGGTATTTTGCTAAAAACAAAATAAATTATCGATATAGCGATAGTAGTAATTGATAATCTTTACAAATTTATCAATATAGTCACCTCAGAATATTTCCGTTCCAATTAATAACCATCCCCCATTCATAATATGTCGAATAATTTCTTTCATCTGTAGCATTAGTATACGTCAATAGAATGAGCTTGTTATATAACGGGTAAAACTGTATAGGCGTTGTGTATGTACTGCTAAAACAATAATTTAAGTATTGAATCCCTAAATCAGCATCAATTTCTGTTACGCTTCCGTTTAGATGAATAATGCGTAATGATAATAATGATTCAACGCAAACAAATCCTGTTGAAGGAGTCGCAGATGTGTTTCTGCGAATTATTTGAACCACTGCTGTTCCATCAATATAAGATTTAATACTTATTATACGAGGTGGGTTGATGGGTACTTTAGATTTTTCACTATTCTCAAAATACGTATAATTTGAAGTGGTACAATCTGTAGCCAAAATTGTTAACAATGTAAAATAAACGCTTATGATAGCTAAATTATAAGATTTAATTTTCATTATAAATTCTTTCAAAATATCAAAGATTACTTTAAAAGATTGAGTAGATGTATATTAAAGTGCAAATTATGTGACTTCTTTTGACCTTATCATAGAGATCAGCTTATTTATTATAGAAGCCGCCAACTTCATTTATATGCCAGTGAACTACTTACACAAATTCAACTGTAACTAAATTAGAATTTTTGGATGATGATGATAACGATAGTGGTTCTACTTTATTAACATAAATTTTGGACGATCTTCCATGTAGAGGATATCGTTTAGACTCAGAGATTTATAGCAATTTACATTTTAACTGAATCGTTTTGACATGTGGATATTTAAAAAAAATTTAAATTCGCTGTTAACATCGCATCATGTGAATAACTTCGCAAGGAATAATTCTACATTTTTTATTTACAAATCTGATTACAAAAAATTTAGAGAAGTACCGAATTATACTAATCAAAAAAAATTCAAGTAATGTGATATAGAACTGACTTAGGACAATAATGATAGAGTAATAAGAAACCACTAAAATTTTCGATCTCTTTACAAAGCTTGTTTTATAAATCATAGTTCTGTTTATCAATCTCATCACGACATTCTGCATTATGTGCATTACATTATGCAAAACATTATAACGCATAATGTAATGTAGACATTTTAAAATTTAAAAGTGCGCATAGTAATTACTATATAATTTTAATGCAGCAAAAATTAATAAAATATTATATTTTATATAATACGTAATACTAAGTGATATGTAGCAACAGTTAGTGATTTCCTACCTGTATAAAGCAGGCTAACTAATATGAGGTTTGAAAATACCATGAAATAGTAAACTTCTGTCGTGAGATGATGAAGATTGGATATGAATCTTGCTTCTTGATTTTGGTAGAACATTATGATTTGATTGCATAATGTCGCATGCTGCATTATGCTGCATTATGCAATGCAGAGCCAAAAAAAATATGCATTCGCACATCTTTACTCATCACCAAATTTAATGGAGTTAATTACATATCATTTGATCTTATTTTCGGGTTATTTTAAAATTTATAGATCGATTTGCCACCTTGCCCATTTTATCAAAGAAGGAAATTGTTTATTCGAGCATTTTTATATATAGTCAAAATTTTGAAATATGATTAGTTTTTAAAAAATTCTTTGTTTTTGTTGTACAAAATTAATATGCATAATTGTTTTTTTATACAACATTGATCTGCATGTTACACTTGATCTTGCAATTTATAGCCTTATATAGATTTATATTTATTATTTATATAAATATATAGTATACAAATATATTACATAAACAATACAGTTAGACCTTTCTATAGTCATCTCCTATATTGTCATATTTGCTTATAATCATATAATATGTTAAAACTACTTTATATAACACTTATAAAATTTAACATTTATATAAGCACCAAAATTTTAAAACTAAGGGTGTGATTATAAAGAGGTCTGACTTATAAATAATAAAAATAAAAATAATATATTTTATTATTTTTTTAAAAATAAAAATAATATATTTTATTTTTTTTATAAATAAAAATAATATATTTGTAATTATGGATGTTCTATAGAATAGGTGGGCAATATAAGAAATAAGCTTCGCTAATGATTAGTAATCATTAATTTTTTAATAGCGGAGTTGCGGAGTTTTCGGAGTTTGCCCACCTATTCTATAGAGATTCAAAAATAATTCATTTTGCTAAAATTGTCAAAAATTGGTTATAATTCAAAATTGAATATATGAAACTACTTTTTGAGTTTTAACAAAAAAATTCTTGCTAAATTTTACTATAAAATACACTTTTATCTACATTCTATCCTTATCTCACTCTAACTTTAACAAAAAATATTATTTTACTTATTGCTATAGTAGCTATAGCTACAAAGATATTAATTCTTAAAATAAATATATAATTTTTAAAATAGTTTAATAATCTAAATTTTAATTTATATAAAAATAAGTAATAAATTTGATTAAATATAAATACAAAATTAAATTTAATATTCACCAATAGAAATTTCAACTGTATCAACAGATTTACTTGGTAAGGTTTCTAATATTATAAAATAATTAGTTTAGTTTTAAATAAAAAATAATTTAAGTTTTTTAAAACAAATACCTCTAATAGCATTAATTGCATCTGATATTTTTTTTGTATTGATTTTTTTGCTGGTGAACATAAAGTCAGAATGTTTTGGCGAAATAATTGGCAATTCGTTTGCTATTTTATCTGCTTCTAAAAATTGCATTTTAATTTCATTTTCTTTTGAACTTTTCATGATATTATTCCATTCATTAAGTTTACGACGAACATCCATAGAACTGGGCCGTTTTTCTGGATCAGAATTCATGCATTGGTTAGCTAATTCCATGTAGCAATTCGGAGTTCCAGGAGCAAATTCTGGACGCAACCCTTCGCAAATCTTAATTGCAAGATTTGTATTAAATTCATAACCATCAAAAGGCCTTTGACCGGTCGTTATTTCAACCATGACAATACCAAAACCATAGATATCAGCTTTTTGTGTGAACTGTGTTTCACGTGACAAAACCTCCGGAGCAACATAGGGCATGACTCCATAAATATCACCCGAAACACATTCATCATTCTTTCTAGACAATCCTAGATCTGCAATATAAGAACGTTGGTCTTGCAAAATGTTACCACTATGAAAATCAGCATGGATGTAATTTGCTATGTGAATATTCTCTAACTCATCTGAAATATCATAAAGTATTTGCAATTTATTTCGCCACGTAAGTTCTCTAAAATTCTCTCTTATATATTTATAAAGACTACCATCACTCGCATGCTGAAATACCATCATGTATTCATTTGTTTCTGTGTTTTGAGTTATTCCATATATTGCGAGCTTAGTATTATAATATTGTAATTTACATGTCATAAGACTTTTAAACTAAGGGTTTAAATAATAATTAGTTAAATAAATTATTAGATAAATTATTCAATCAATAATTAACTTACTTCTCTTAAAAAATCAGTGTTTTCATTAGAATTTGTCAATGTTTTGAGTGCAACGGTTTTAGATGGCTCGCGCGTTCTTACATAATTATAATCACTACCATCAACTTTTCGTATGCCATCCAACCAGGTTGCTGAATATACAGAACCGAATCCTCCTTCCCCAATTTTTTTAACATCAGATAATCTATTAAACGGAATCCACTCAATCGCATCTTCATATTGCCGTGCCCTAAGTTGGAATTCTTTCATACAATCATCAATATCCTTATTTTTATTTGTCCACCTTGTTGTTATGTCAGAGTCACATGAAAGACACCATGCTGGTTGCGTGTTATCTTCATTACAATACGCACATTTTCCATATTTAGAGTCGCTATATAATATATATTTTATTTCATCTGCAAATGCTATTCTAAACCTTATTTTGAATGCCGTCAAGAAAAAAAACTTGCATCGGTTTTAATTATTAAATTTTGTATCGCTAATAAATCAAATAGATTGAATCCAGTACAAAGTAAAATTTAAACCCGATGATAAGTTTTTACTTGACGGCATTCATTTCGAATGTAAGTAATTTGTGCTTACCGACTAAATTAATGAGAATGAAATGATTTGAAGCGTATTATATAATAGTAATAGTAAATAAGTATTTATGTTCTTGATTTGTGAATTTGCTTTGCTGATTTTAATCCAATGATTAATAAATGTTCTTTATACTCACTCACTGAATGAACGATTAATGCAAATGAAATGATTTGAAGAGTATTACATAATAGTAATGGTAAATAAGTATTTATGTTCTTGATTTGTGAACTTGCTTTGCTGTTTTTAATTCCAAT